AATGTCCTCAAGAAAAGCAAAAGTGAAAACTCGCCAAGAATTCGATCCCACGACCTCTTTCCCGTCGGCCCGGGCCGCTGCCACTGCACTATCTCGCTTCATAACTACGTTCAGAGAATCGTTCCGCAGATTTGGAGAGCAGATTCGAGATCAGCGTCCAAAAACACATCTAGTGGTGTATGTCTCGTTACAAATGGCCACTTCGACCTGGTATCCTTCCCTTGTAGAACAGCGTCGGTAAAAGAAGATCCCGTAGAGTTTTTGACGAGATTGAAAAGTGCAATTTTCCTCCACTCAAGTCGCTAACTAATCTTCATCAGACGGGATGATCCCACAGAGGTGACCAAAACATACCAACGCTATTGGCAGAAGAGCTAGCCGACCTGCCCCGAAACCGTGTGCAAGTTGACGGGAATCTGAGTTAGAGTGTCCAACATGAGGACGTACGCATTTCCCAGTAGGGAATCTTCAAAAAATAACAGATAATTTGGCAAATGCAATTTCAAAAAAGCTACAGTAAACCATTCTTATGTGCCTAAGCTCTCCACTATTTACAATGCTCTTGAGGTCCGCTCAGGTCAGGTTTTAGTTCATCTGGCCTTGGAAGATCGTAACAAAGAGGTGCCGGCTTTCAGTCATTGCCTTCAACATTTGGAACGTCGCGGGGTGCTGCAATATCATTGTCAGCCAATACTTGTTAAGGGAGTGAGTCACAAATGAATACTCATCAGAAACTCTTATATGAACTAACTAAAGAGAGCGCTATTGTGAAAAGACTTGATGATTTAACTCCTCTCAATTACAAGAGGCGCTCAGCGAAGGCTATTCTTCAACGAGGCGAGCTGTTCTACAACAGCATAGGCTTCCGGGGAAACTAAGAGTTTTCTACGAGTGCAGAGCTTGAAACCTTTCTCAGTAATAAAAGCGCTCCTCTACTAAGGGACAAAGGAGCTAGTTGTTAGCGCTGATTACCCAAAACTTTTCTAGAGTAAGCACCACCCTCAAAATCCATATAGGATCATGGAGAAACATCAGTGTGCACCAACTTTTCGTGTGGAATAAGAACAACAACAACAAATACAGATCTCCAATGGTTTGCTGAGGCCAGCAGCTGTTCCATTCCCAGATATGTCTATCACCAATTTATCGCCCAGAGTTTAGTGGAAGGCTTGGGCCTTTCCTTTCAAAGAGTGTAACAACTCCCACTTGAAACAGAATTAACTCTTTAGTTCCGTTCTAAATGAGCTGACAGCTTTCTGACAGAAGAGTGTTAGTAATTGTAAGCAATTTGAGCTTTCTGAAGAGTGTTAGTAATTGTAAGCAATTTGAGATTACAGTCCATATTCCAAATAGGTTTTTTCTACATCATTATTTCTAAAGCTCAAAGCCTCTGAGGGCTGAATTGAGCGAAAAGGCCATTAGGGAGGAGCCGATAACCACTGCAAATGCCTCATTTACGGGAATCTTCAAACCAAGGCCAGATACCTGTTGCTGCGGTTTTTATTGCCAGGTCATTACGACGGCCCAAAAATCGTTTCACTTTTCAGTTATTAGGAAGTTGCAGTCCACGCCAAGTGGCGCAACCCTGGAAACACTATAAAAGAGGCAGTGGCAGCCAAGATGACAACACGACATGTTCGAGGAAAAGCTCATCGTCGGCGTGGCTTCGGCCTGCTCCACACTGGCCATCGTTGCCTGCCTCATTGTGGTCCCATCGCTCTACAACACCATCAACGAGATCCACGATGAAGTCCTCGACGGCGTCTCCGTGTTCCGCGTCGAGACCGACTCCGCTTGGAGCCAGATGATGAACTTCCAAGTAGCCGTTGCTCCTCCAAGCAAGCCACGTGAGAATCCCTTCGGCTCCATCTTCCGTAACAAGAGACAGGCCCTGCCATCTTACTGCCAGTGCACGCCTCCAACAGTCAACTGCCCACCTGGACCAGCTGGACCTCCCGGACAGCCCGGAGCACCTGGTGAGTTTACACCTTTTCATATTATTTGAATCATATTACGGTAAATATTTCAGGACAACCTGGATCACCTGGTCAGCCTGGAGAGGACGCCACTACCACCTACGCTCCCATCAACTGCCCCCCTCCAGACACCGGTTGTGTCACTTGCCCACCTGGACCACCTGGACCCCCCGGACCAGATGGAAACCCTGGAGGCCCAGGACCCAACGGAAACCCAGGACAAGCTGGATCACCTGGACAAGATGGACAGCCAGGACCCTCCGGACCTCCCGGAGACGCCGGATCACCAGGAAACCCAGGAGGAGATGGACAACCTGGACAGCCCGGACAGGACGGCACCACCTCAACCAACACCCCCGGAGGACCTGGACCTGCTGGACCAGCTGGAGCCCCAGGAAATGCTGGAGGACCCGGACAGCCAGGAAACGCAGGAAACCCAGGAGCCCCTGGACCAGCTGGACAGCCCGGAGCTCCTGGACAGCCAGGACCCAACGGTACTCCTGGAAACCCAGGAGGCACAGCACCTCCCGGCGGCGACGCAGCTTACTGCCCATGCCCACCTCGCTCAGCTGCATTCGTGTCTCGTCGCGTTGCCAAGCACTAAGCTTCTGAAGAGCACCGCCACCGTTCATAGACAATTGCAGTTTTCTTTAGATAACGGATTTACGGCGAATAAACGTATTGCTCAAAACTTTTTCATCTATTCTTGCAACAAGAGAACTTCCGGGTGAATCATACATTGCTGTCGTTTTGTGAAATTACCATGTAATTTTACACCCAGGAGATTGAATGTGAGGACATTCCTCCAAATCTTGTGTACAGCTACAGCTGACTGGTTTCACAGCCAATGAAAAGCTCGAGGTCGTTTTTAATCGAGAAATCATTGAGATTTCCTGGGACAAACCACAAACGAATTCCTCTTACTGCATTTCGGCACGGCACATTGAGTGTTTTTCTTCGGCATTCCATGAATGGTGAACCTTTTTAAGACAACAGTTTCGGCAATAATCTCCTTCGTTGGGGCCTATAAGTTGTGAAAAACAAGTGAGGGAATTCGCCCAAAGTATAAAATTTCAGGAGGGTACAAAAAGTGGGCCTGTTTTAACAGGGTGATAGAAAGCGTGAAGCAGTGGACATTACCAGTTCTTTTGAAATCCACTTCCAGTCTGAATCGTACATACCCTCTACTTCGGAAAACGAGAAGAACGTCGAGTGCAGACCACACACCACAAGTGACGGCGACCAAGAAAAATGCCACTTTTCTCGGCCGTCGTCACTTGCGGTGTGCGGTGTCGATTTCCGAAATCGACGTTAGTTACATTAGAATGCCGTAGGCCCAAACGAATTGCGGGATTAAGTACAATACAGATAAGTGCTCTTATAAGAGTTGAGTATGTAGCAATAAGTAATAAGTTGACTCTGGAGAGATTGGATGGAATGGGTGAGGAGTAGTGCCAGTAACTACTACACCACTTCCGCCTGGTAAACAATTCCTTAAAAAAAACAAGCTAACGTTTTAGGAAATTGGGTAGTCTTTAACGTTCTAAGACTAATTCGCTAAAGAAGCATATTGGCGGGCTGGAATAGGGGCTGCATTAGCCTTTAAAGGTAAATGTGAAACAACTTAGACATTCCCGGAGTCTGTTTGCACCGACACAGTTCTTATCCCGAGCTGAATTTGTTTTCAACTTCAAAATCACTGAGGGGACATATATCATGGCTTCCTTCTAATACATAGTGAAGCACGCGTACAACGAAGGTCAGACTCTTTCTTTGTCTCCGCTCCAATGTCTTAACTTTATTGTTCCAGGGTGGATTGCTCCTTGATTGTAAAGGTGTTTTCACTGCTGTTACTCCACCATTTTTTTCTTGGCAGCGGCCGAAATTCCCGTATTCTGCGCATGATTCATGCCTTCGGCAAGGTGTTCACTTTGAGGTACTACCTTCTCACCTCGAGTTTACAAAATATTTTTTTATGTCCATGTAACACGACGAATTTGCTCATTCTTCTGTTAGTTGACATTTCTTCTTAAATGTTCCTCTTCAAAGAAGTGCCCACCTCATGGCAAGGTCAACCACTACGTTGGGGACAGCAGAGCCTACTACACCAGAAACTTTCGAATTCGACCCTCATCTCAGGAATCTTCTCATTTTTGTGGTAAACCTGAAACCTACCCAACCTACCTACCTATCTCCCTTTCCAGACCGAAAAAGTAAAATACCAAAAAGTTATTAAAAAATAAGGGTAGTGTCAATGGACATAGTTTATGAGAGACGGGGTGGTCCGAAACATTACTTTCTTCATCAGTTTTACTGATTGTGATTGGCAGTCGTATCCCTTCCCCACTTCGAAATCGTGCAGGCCAAATAGTCTACAGTTCCCTTCATATCTCTTTTCAACTGTCACAACATCCACTATGAACTGTTTTACAAATTTGTAGAGGGTGAGCCCAGTTTTCTCTAGATGACCACAAATTATGGTAACCAGGCAAAGTGGCCATGAAAATTCCACAAGGGTTAAAGTGAACAAATGGATAACAGAGATATATTTACTGAAGGCTATCGGGCCAAACCAAATCACTTCGTCTTGCATGGACACAGAGGAGAAGCA